CTTGATCGATAGTGACTCTTAAAAGTTTCTGGAAATGAACTTGTTCAATATCCTCGTTTTCAGACTGTAACGACAATATCTTTGTCGGCAACTTTTTGGCCAATCTCTTCCCGGTAACAAGCATAGATTTTGTCTTTTTGGCATTTATGATCATTTTGTTTGTTTTTGACCACCTTACAATGCCGTCCAAATCAAGCTGTAGTGCTGTTTCTATGGCTGTAGGTGTCAAATCCACTTCTGCGGAGTGACTAAGGGTAGTATCATCCGCATATATGTCGACCTCGGAGTGGAATACCTCTGACGGAAGATCGTTGATAAACAAAAGGAAGAAGATTGGACCCAAAATACTTCCTTGTGGCACACCGCATTTCACCTCTATTTTCGGAGAACGGGAACCATTAATATTTACATACTGCCAACGGTTTCTAAGATAGTCTTTTAAGAGGTTTAGCTCATCCCCCTGAATGCCATAATTATGTAACTTGTTAAGGAGCAGTTGATGGTCTATCAGATCGAAGGCTTTCTTATAGTCTACAAAAATTAGTCCAGTTACCTTGTTTTTATCCAGATCAAGTAGCAATTGGTCAATGAGTCTGATGAGTGCAGTTTCAGTCGAATGGTGTTTACGAAACCCGGATTGAAGTCGATAAAATAAGTTTCGTTGTTGCAGAAACCCATACATATGTTCACATATGTGCCTTTCCAGTAGCTTAGATAAAATGGGAAGCACTGATATAGGCCTGTAGTTAGACTTTTCATCTCGGTTTCCCTTCCCTTTATATATTGGGGTGACCTTAGCAACCTTCCATTTTGAGGGGAACGTTTGAGTGTTTATGCAACGATTCATCAGCTGGCTTAATGGTTCGGCTATAGCTGGTGCTGCTATTCTCATTATTTTGGCGCTAATGCCATCGTCTCCTGTGGATTTATGAACGGGGATGGATAGAAGTAACTCAATCACTCTTAATTTTGACATGGGGGGAATGCTGAATGTAGTATCGACATGGGGAATAGGATCTAGATTTGGTGTTTGTTCTATTTCTACGGGCGCTGAGGTGGACGCGAGGTTGTTTTGCGGGTCGACAAAGAAGCGATTAAATGTTTCAGCAATGGTCACTTTATCTTTTAAAGTCGTACTATATTCGGTCAAAAATTTGACACTTTCATTTTTTCCAGCATCATCATTTGTTAGATTTTTAATCAAGTTCCAAAGTTTACTGGGGTTTTGTTTATTTGCTCTGTTTTAAAATTTGTGCAAAACCATTTTTAATCCCCGAGCCGGCGGCGCGAAGCGCCGTGCGAGGGTACTAATTCCCCCCGGCTATTTACACCCGAGGAAACGAAAGCATTAGCGAAGTCTAAAGTTCATCAATGAGCGCGGGCGTCGGTCACCAACGATGGGTGGTCATCCTCACTGATCTCAAAAATATGGCGGACTGTCATGAATAACGGACACTGATTGGTCCAATTTAAAGTTTGCATTATAACGACTGCATGACGACAGCGAAATAGCAAACATTTCTTGATTTGATGATTGATGAATTTTTTACCGCATTTTTGCAAGATTTTGTAAATTTCAAGAGTTTTCTCATAAAGAAAGGGCGAAAGAATCGGCTAAAAGAAGGGAGCCGACGTTAACGAAGGTAAGTTTGTTTTAAATATTGACTTTAAAACCCGACGGCCTTTGCGTATATTAATATGAAACAACTAATAAAGCAAACAATAAAGCAAACTTATTTGCAAGCGAGAATTTGAAATCATTTTATTGCAAACTCAAAGTTTATCGATAAAGCCATTTAATAGTTAAAGGCAGTTTAGTTTTATATTAAAGAACACTTTAAAACGTTTTTTGAATTGTTTGTGGTTGAATTTTACCTTAAATTGAAGCTTGTATTACGTATAATTACATACCTAACATATATATGTTGGGAAATTGATAATTTTGTAATTAAAAGTGATATTTTTAGGCGATTTTTATTTGTAAGAATATTCTTAAAAAGTTATCGTGTTACCATGACAACCACTTTAGATACTTCATGTTCGGAAAATACAACGGTTTTGTTAGCAAGGCGAGGGTTTCTGCATGCATGTATTTTCTAGTTAAAATGTTTTCTTATCAATATTTTGATCATGTTATTAGACATGCTTTATATAAAGATTATTTGAGTTCCCTCTCATTTACTTCCTGTACAGCAATAATTCTCGAGCTATTTCAAAAACGCGCCGCGATATATTATATTTTAAAACTGCACTCTTCCAATTTACTCGTGCGCATTATTCTCCAAATTGTTCTTCAGTTGAAACTATTTGATTTGGTATCAATCATGTTCTTACTGTATTTATTAATGATTTATTCTTAATTTTCGTTTATTACTTTTATGTTATAAGATATTAATAATTTTTCATCTAATATTTTTTATGTTCTGTTTTCATTTAATATTTTATTATAATTATAATTATAATTATAATTATATAAAGAAGAGGCGAATACTGGTGGTATTTCAGCGACGATTTTAATAGCTATATATTACTAAAGTTCCGGCATCGCACATGCACCATATAAGGCACCGCATTCGGGCTCGGTTAGCCGCCAAACTATATGCACACGGCTCACTTATGCGTGCCCAAATAGCAACACAAAACTTTTCAATATGCGAAAAAGGAGAGACATTGCCCCAGTTACCGGATTTATGTGTGTGCGGGGAGGAGGTGTAACAATCTCAATATATTTGTTCATGAGTATAATTTCAGGTAAACTTAGCGGTAACTTCAGCTGATCATGTTCAGGTAAATTAGAAGATAATTGACATGGAAGTTAAAAGTGAATACATGCCACACATGCTGTAAGAATGCAAAATTTTAGTTTTGTTAGGATTTAGATATTGAAATTTTCTCGGTGAGGCATTCACCCCGACTGCTAGAAGATTTATAGCTCCATATCCACTATTCTAATGCATTCTTTGCATTATTCTTTGCATTATCTATCAATTATTCTAATACATTCTTTCAAAACGTAATTTAAAAGTTCGGATAATATGATCACTCCCACAAAGATGAAATGTTCTCTACGTCCCTGCATGAATCGGGAGTATGTGCTTGATGAGCAATGGCAGAATATATTTACATTGAATTCTAGCTATAGAGCATAGGTATTGCAGTGCAAGCAATCTCAACGGTTTAATAGCATACAAAGAGAATTTGGCCATGTTGGATGAAGTTTGAATAGCTGTTATCGTAATTGAATACGCCGCGGCGGCGAACCAGCGGTATCTCAGTAGAAGTTAACGAGGCTTCCAAAACGAGGCTAAAGGGTTAAAAAAGCACAAAACATGACCCTATAGCCTCGTCTCGATGTTAAAATAATGCAGCACCGCTGGTCCGTAGTATAGACGTATTCAATTGCGATAACAGCTATATTGCAAAATCTTTTGTCAAACTGATCCAATATGGCGGCGACGATGTAAATTGGACAACAAGATTCAGAAAATTCATATATTTATTTCATTTTATAAACGCAATTATTGGTTTAGCTGACAGTGTCAAGCTCATACTCATGATTAAGAAAGGTGAATCTGTTGACGTTATTGTAGGTGCACAAGTATAATCCCTGCACAAAGCCGATTCGAAATACAATTCTGGGCTCTCAAAATGGAGATCCTCTACAATAAATCAAGTAAAATGTTTTGCGATAATTCCGCAAACGTAATATATAAATTAAAGGATTGACGGCGAAGTTAAAATAAAATATCAGAGACGTTATTTGAAAGAGAATCACGTGCACCAAATTATCGTTAGAAAAATGCAGGGAATCATCGAGCTGAAAATATGTCATGGAAGGCACAATACAAACAAACGCAATCAATGCAATCAGAATGATTGTTTTCAAAAATTGCTTTTTCTTAAGGATCCTCATTTCTTGTGCACAGCTTTCAGTTGAATTTTGAAAAGCAATGTTCTTCGAGTGTTTCTTCAATTTTGAATATGTAGCAGCGTACCTGACTGCAGACAGGACTATAACGATCACACCATAACAGTAGACCGCAAAAATCTGGTTGTTTTTACGACCATACACCAGTCGTAATATAGGGATCGCGGAACTTCCGAGCCAAATGCCCGATAACCATAACACCATAACCTTCCCCTTAGTCCAATGGCGGTGTTTCAAAGGATAGAACACCAATAAAAGGCGGTCAATAGAAATTGAAGCTATGGATACGAGTGAAGCAATCCCAAAATACACAATAAAAAATTGAAAAACCGAATCCAAACCAGTAATGACAATATCGTAGGGAAAAAATGGAATAAGTAAACACGATACTAAATCAGAAACTGAGAGATTGATAACAAGATATGTCCCTGGATTTCTGAAGCATTTTAAAGGATCTTTAATAAATTGCGACTAGAAGTAATACGTTTGAAACTGCTCCCAGAACAGCTATTATAGAGGACGGTAACTTGCTGTACTTGAATTCCATGCTGAGTCTGTATAGTGATATTTTTCTCTGCTATGCTTTTGTTCAGTGCATGATTGTCGGGCTTTTTTTATCAAGTCTATACGATAAAAATTTTAATTAAAATTTTTGTTTTATAAACTCATAAATTTATAATTTAGAATATTTAAAACATCTGATGAAACGTCACTTATCATTGACGAGCTTATTAATGTTTATTATGTAATGACTTTCGATTCAGTGCTTACCTTATGAGGTCTAGAACCAGTTAAAACCTATATTTATAATAAGCATGAAAAATGACTTAGAATGTCACGATTCCAATTTCGGTGCCAAACATAAAAGATGTTATTACGGGAACCAAGATTTATTAATCCTGATGATGACTACAAACTAGTCGAAACGTCGATGAAAAATCAAAACGTTATTTGGAGTTACTGTTATTTTGTATTTTCTTGAAAGATGTCAATTCATTCATTAACTTGATTATCGTCACCTCTAATCGTAAATGTAATTGTTTTAAAAAAACTCAATTATGTATGATCTTCGTGATCGTGACTAAAACGTCCACACGAGTACATACGAATAATAGACAAGTACATACGAGTAACATACGAGTACATACGAGTAACACACGAGTACATACGAGTAAAATACGAGAACATACGAGTAAAATGCGAGTGGTAAACTTGTTTTTAGTGTTTCTAGATTGAATACAGGCAAAAAGATTGTATTCTGGGCCGAATAACGTTAGATAGACTGATCATGAAACCCAACACAATAATGTTTCAATGAATGACCGTAGCTAATTCATTATTTTGCGTCTGCTAAAATCTCATTCCCACCGATTTCCGCCACTGAATTTTATTCACGACACTTTTTCGCAATAAAAGCGACGCAAAATACGTTAAGTCAACTTTGATTTATAAACATATAAATGTTTTATTTTACATTACTAGTACTTTGCATTACTTATTAATTATTAACTAAAATATAAAAACTGTTGGCTCGCCAGAATCAGAAACCGGTTTGTAAAGTGACCACAAATTATTTCCGTATATCGTATAATAGTTGTAGTATTTAATAGTAGTAGTTAGTTAGTATTCGATCTAAAAGTATAAATACAAGAATTATCTTCTGAATCGAGGGGCATTTCACTCCAAAAAAGCGTACGGGATTTTCGGATTTTTAAAAATCCGCGGATTTTTTAGCGGATTTTTCCCGGATTTTTTAGCGGATTTTTGAAGAGAAAATCAGTTGGATTTTCCGGATTTGTTTGGATTTTCCGGATTTGTTCGGATTTGTTCCGGATATTTTGACGAAGCGTACGGGATTTTCGGATTTTTAAAAATCCGCGGATTGTTTAGCGGATTTTTCCCGGATTTTTAGCGGATTTGTGAAGAGAAAATCTGTTGGATTTTCCGGATTTGTTCGGATTTTTTCCGGATTTTTTGACGAAGTGTACGGGATTTTTGGAGTGAAATGCCCCTCGTTCTGAATAAGGTGAATTAATAATGAGAAACAACATGAACTTACTTCTTTGGCCTATATCACTTTACAATATACCAAATATAAATGTATTTCTGAACGTTAAACTTCGAGTAAACAACTTAAAACCAACGTGTTAATTTCCCGCTATTTTTCTGTCACGTGACGTGACTGTGTCTGTTCAATGACGTAATTATTTATCTATGTTTAAATTAGCGAAACAACTGTCAGTATTAATAATACTCGAATGTTTGGTCATTCTCACGCCAGGTAATGTTTGGCAGTCTCTATCGCCATATGAACGTTCCTTTATTACACTGCTCAACTTCTTATCAACAGGTAAAATATAAAGGACATTAATTAACTGAATGGTGTGTTACTATCAAGAAAATGTCATTGGCCATATAAAGTGCGATTACTGTGATATTTTGGTCCGTGTAGAATGTACTCAAACGCGAAGATACCGAACGCCTTCGGACAGTATATTGTTCAACATATATGTACGGCTTTAGATTTGTCTGTTGACACAACAGTTTTGCGTCCAACCCGGCGTCTGTTTAGGAATGTTGACATAATAATTCATTTATTATAACTTAATTATATAGCTTATAGCTTATAGCTTATTAACAAAAGTTTACTTTAAGCAACATTCGCGTGTTGCTCGTATGTTACTCGTATGTTACTCGTGTGTTACTCGTATGTACACGTATGTTACTCGTATATAATCGTATGTACTCGTATGTACTTGTGTGTTACTCGTATGTACTCGTGTGGTGTTTTAGTCACGATCTGTTTTTCGTAGCCTCCTCAGCAGGCATCTCACCCGAGAATTTTTTTTCAAAACCATTCGCAGACTAAAACAAATAGACAGGCCTGCGGAGGAAGCTACGTTCTCCGATCCGAATTGCATTTTATTTTATTTTATTTCATTTTTTTAATTACCTCCGCCAGGAGGTTATGTAATCATCTGGGTTTGTATGTGTGTATGTATGTGAGTACGTGTTGTGTGTATGTGTGTGTGTGTTTATCTGTGAGCACGATAAGTCAAGAAATACCAAACATATTTGAATGCATTTCCCATCGGCTAAGGAAGAACTGATTAAAATTTGGTTGAATTTGGTTGAAAATTTAACGAGAAATGAACAAAATTTTGTCTTGCTTTTCCCGGTCAATTAAAAAAAACTCACTGAATGCGTAATTAGGACGTGTATAATGTATGCACGCAGAACTAAGACAATAATGAAATGATAAACCTCATTACGCTTCAGCCTTCATTATCTGTTGTCTTAGTTGCATTTCACACGACCGAAATTCAATACGTGCGGAGGTATGCAGTCTCTGAGTGCCCTCTAGTTATGCTCTGTTTTCTTTTAAATTGTTTACCATATAAAACAAAGGTATTTGTATAACTAATTGACATTCATATACTGCCGGGTTTTTTGATTGGATAATTGATAAAAATTTGCATTTACCAGTAATTTTAATTTCGTTAAAATCTGCTGCACCAAACGAAGTAAATATCATTGGTTTTACCATAAAATATAAACTATACTATTAGAAATCCAGGTAATAGGGGTTGGAACAAGTTCAAATGGAGAACAACCTATTCGTCTTTTCACGAAATGACTGCACACACATTGGTAATGTTATTATAAAATTCATGAATGGTAAGAGCTGTAACAGTTAGAGTTAAGAATAAAAGAGAAAGTTTAAAATATATCTCAAAAATAAAAAGTCTAACAAACATTACAAATGCTTTGTATATATGTTTGCATTCTGTAATAAAGCCACGCGAGTGAATTACGAAGCTTAATTGTCAATGTATATAAACTTTGCAATATTTCGTACAATGGTATCAAAGGCAGGTTTATAGATTCAGTAGCCAGTTTTCAAACCAATAATGCAAAGCTTCATGCTATAAACAATTAAATAACAAAAGAAAACTCATTGTTCCTTCTCAGACCATGGTGCACCGGAAATGATATAGTGACTCACAATTCGACGACGTGCGTCAAGATAATATTTTTGTAAATGAAAAAAATTAATGGTTCAATCACATATCCCCACAGTCTAATTGTTCGAAAAGAGCGGAAACACACTATAATTCTGATTTCTGAACGACGCTTGAAAGCTGATGCCAGGTGAGAGTTGGTTCAAATATCACCCTGAAAGCAAACCACACGTCGTTTAGAATAATGTGCTGTTTGTAAGTCAACTGCATGAGCAAGCTTTAATCGTATAGCTTACATAAATTGATAACGCTCCGTCGACTCGATGGGCATCAGTGTGAGTATATGTCACTATAGGCAATTTACAGTCATTCAAATTTTAATAGATTACTGAATTAAAAAGTGTTTAAAACTATAGTTATAATTAATAAAGTAATTAAAACACAATATAAGAATCTAAGAGTCAGATATCAAGAACTAATTAGCTTTCGTCGTCCACGACATCACCAGAGATAGTATAGCACTATATAGCTACAGTGCTGTGTTGGTTTTAAGCTATATATACAAGGTGTATAAAAAAGGAAACCTTAGAAATTATGCTATTGTTATAATTTGAATGTCTGAGCCCAAAAGTGCGCAAAATATTGATTAACTTTATAATTAAAATATCCATGTTAAGCAGAAGATTTTCTGCTCCTAAGAATTTAAATAGCTTCTAATAGCATAAAGGAGAATAACTGCACAAAATGAGTATTAACAATTTGAGTATTAAAGATATAAAGATGCTTCATCAAACAACAGAGCAACGAGTTTTTACTGCTTTATGCGCTGCGTTAAATTAATCAGCACGTGATTATACTGTATGTTGAACGAAACCAAAAACGTTTTAAATAACTTCATGCATAAAATTCGATTCAATTGTGTTTACGCACATATGGGTCCAGTACTTATGCATTCAAATTATAACAATAAGGTGAATTTCTGAAGCTCTCCTTTTTTTGAGACACTCTGTATATCTCGATTATTCCTACTGGCATAAATTAAAAACGTGATCAGTATACCGAGCTACATTTTGCTCTTAAAAATTATCAAAATAATAAACTAAGCATAAAAAGAAGCATTTGCACAAAAGCAGCCTGAATGCATTTTGCTTTCACTATAAATTGCACTATTCTGGTCTAGAGCTTGTGGTACGGTGCTTTTTTAACGATTATTTTTGCGTGAAAATATAGTTTATCTATTGCGGCTTATATCTATACGTAAAAAAGTTTCAACTTAGTGATGGTTAATATGAATGCCATTTTCCTGGGGAACGGTAATCTGTTTTCGGAGAATCTCTCTGAAAAGGAAAGAAGAACAAAGACCAACTGTTAGTATGTCGTATAGTTATATGTTTACCACTTGCCTAATATTTGTGGCCATTTCATGTATATTTGATATTTTGAGTAATAGATAAAGCATAATATAACATATATCTGTATCAGACTGGATATACAAACTCCTGAAGGACATATCAACTCATATATTCAAATGTTTAAAACTACAGGTATACAGCTATTTCAATTAAGGTTATCATAGTCATTTGTATACATTCCGAGCGCCAACAGCAAGATGGGTATAACAATTTTAATATTTTTAGCTGTTTATAGGTAGCCAATTTGTGTTTTCAATTTCCAGAGGTACACATGATTAACATTTCATCCTATAAAATATATTATTTCGATTACACTTTTGGCGCCTGGCTTTCACATTTGACCATTGCTCGTGACAACCTTAATATTAACTGTAATAGCTGTATGAGCTAGACTGATTTAATTAGATATAAGTATTGTTTATGCAAAGACTCCTAAATCTATCCAATAGGAACCGTTAATGTCATGTTTATTTTTAAAATCAACATTCATTCTGGAAATTATTTATAGCGTAATTACTCCATATCAGATTTGATTGACAGGCACATCGATTTCGAACAATGGGAATTTTGCGTTGTGTGGGCAACGCATATTTCGTTTCTTGATGTGTAGTCGGTAGTCCCTCCTTTCTCCTGATCTCGAGGGACTTCTCGCGGTCGACTATAGTATGAGCAAAATACCTGACTGTTTGCGACCACAAAGCATTCAACTGTTCCGCCTCTCTTTCATCAGAGTAGAATGCAACATATGAGGTCAACAAATCATCCATCTCGTAATCCTGTTGAAAAATAAAGTGATGCTTTAAGTTGCTTTAAGCTGATAGAATTTACTTACTGTAGCACCAGAGAATTGCTTAAACACCTGAATAAATGTATGTTTAATTAGAGCGATTCATTTTCTTGGTAATTCATGTTGGTTACCATCGCTATTTTTGTCCATTGGTACTCTATACGTGTTACTGTACTGAAATTCACAGGTCCAAACCCATTCAGTGTTGGACTCAAGAAAATTTCCGGAGATTTAACAACTTTCACAAACAGAGGATGAGTTACCGTGCAAGTATTTAGCTATAATCAATGGCAAGAAATGCAGAGGTGGCTATCAAAACTTGACTTGAGAGAAGTGTACCTTTCTTTCCTAATCACTTGCTCTATAAACTTATATCAGGAAGATATTTATCACCATAACTAACGGCATGATTTACACCTTGGCGTTATAGTCGACTTCACCATCTTCTTATTCGTGATATAATTAACGAGAATATCACGAATATGTTAATGTGACATTAATGACGATAACGAGGCTCAAAAGCATTGGTCTCCTATAATTGTCATGGGTGTCCTGAGGAGGAAGCTTAGCTAAAACCTGTTATAATTAATGGATAGCTTTTGAGCAATCTTTCTATCCTTATGAATGACCAAGCGTCTGAAAATTTAGCGTCCCTTACCAAATGCGTCTTAAAAACAATTCTTCTACCATCAGATGTACCACCAATAATAACTTCAAATGTCTCATCTCCACTTCGCCAGTGTGAAATCAGCCCGTAGGAGTAATTTTTCAGCAATTCCTTGATTAGTAATCAAACAGATCAGTTAGTAACCGATTACAACTGCTTCAACTCTGTGTTTGTCACCTTGCCTTGTGTTGGTAATGCAACTGTTACAGCACCAATTCATCAAAACAAGCAATTTTTAGTTATGCTTATACACGGTTCAACTTACTTTGGTGTCCCGTTTAATAATATTAATTCCATGTTTGTTAATCGCAACGTAGACAACTGGTGGGTATTCTTGACTAATTTCTTGCTACAATTTTCAGAAGAAAGCACAAGAGCAAACGTAAGTTTCACTCAAACTGACAACGTATTGGCAGCTCAATGGATTGGCTACATGAGCGACCTAAACTTTGCATTATTTCAGAAACTGAGCGTAATCTAGGGAGTGACTCAATATGCCAGAAATTGTGATTGGGAAAAGTTAGATAAAGTTTGAGGTAAAATTCAAGGTAAAATTTTGACATTTTCCGGGAAATTTGAGCAATAAAGTCATTATAATTGGTGAGGTGATCGAAAAAATAAAAAGATGTTTATAATTGCTTAAAATAATATGATCCCTTTACGTGTCTTGTCATATCCGATATTTTGTGTACAATTTTGTGCAACAGTCTGCGAATTCACTGCAAAAGACATCATAAATGAATCTTCAAAAATCCCAGTTCCCCTGAGTTTTTTACAACTGAGCATCGGAAATGATGATAATCAATTTCGAAAACGTCTGCTGCAGTTATTGTACACTTCCGGTAAAGTTTCAAACCTTTTCAAGTTCAGGTAAAATTCATTGACCCCCCAGCTACAGATGTTCACTGTACATCTTTGATACGTGGATTGCATTGCATGAAAGGTAATAATACCTCGAATTCCAACATATAAGTGTAGTCCATTGTACAATTCAACACAAAACAAATGTTTATACCTGTGCTTCAAAGAATACAGAACCGAATGTCGTCCATAATTGCATTTTCTTCAAAAAGGCAACTTTTGCTTCATCTTTGGTCATGCCTGGATTCTTACGATGCTCAGCCATGATGCTCTTTAAAGTAAGTAACACAATATTGAACGGAGAATGGCGATCAATTTATTACTCTAATTATGCAGTTACCTAGGAAGATATTGATTTCACGTAATTGATTACCTGAACCCACTGACTGTCGGACATGCTGTTTCTGAAAGGCTTGGGTACAATATCATCCAGAATATCCCTAAAGGAAGCGAAGAAATAGGTAAAGAGTGAGACCGTGAACAAGGTTTAGTAATTGGACTTTACTATTGATTTATTGGGCACAAAAAAACCTTTACGTATACCGTTTCACTAAAAATGTTGTAGATTAACAGAGACAAGTCTATTTGACATGGCAACTTACGGAAAATCATCAGATGGGCGGGCACTTTCTCCATGGTAAACCCTGTATGCAAGTCCAGAAACTTCAACTGCTTCATTAAGAGAGCATTTATGGTAGCCAAGAATATAACGAGGTAGCTCCTAATAAAAAATCGTCCAAAATTAATAATGTAAAGAAGAATATTCGAATGCATTCATCTCGACCACGCAACATAATTTAGTGACTTTGCAGTTATTCTACTGTTTTCACACTTCTGATGGGGAAATGCAGCGATTTTTCATTGCTGCAACGCGTGTGGCCGAACAGATTACTCTTAATAAAGTCAGGCTTCTATGTTTTTATCCCAAGAAGCGGGATGGAACAAACCTGGTGGTAGTGAAAAATGCGGTCAGCAATAACATCCTCCCCGCCAACTGTTTTCGACCACACCTTCTTTGTCACATACAACTCATAGTCTATTCCATTAGGCGAGTCCGGTGTTCCTGTAACGAATGCATAGACACATAGAGAGTCAGTGTATTTCTTACAATTAAAAGTGTATTGCCACACCCAAAATAACCTTGTCGGGAAACATTCACAAAATCCCATTTTCGGTATTGGTGGTTTGTATAGTATAGTGATATCAAAAAGAAGTCCTCGGAGTCTATAATGGTCAAATGGTACGTTTGAACATATATGTATACAGCTGTTTCAAGAAAGGTTGTCCTTCAAAAATCTCAAACCTTAAATTCTAGGCCTAAAACGTGCAAATTTTGCATTGTAACTATGGCAAGACAGATGATAAGAACTTAAAATGTACAACTAGCAGTGTACTAGAATTATATGCCCAATCAAAAGCCTTGAAAGGAAGTTACCCATCACTTTGAATTAGCTGTATACATCTATATGTGGCATATGCAATAATTGTATTGCCATCAATTTTTTGCACTAATTTAGTCACCTCATTTAAAAGTTCAGAAAAGCATTGGGAATTCCATTTATTTATTTATTTATTTATTTATTTATTTATTTATTTATTTATTTATTTATTTATTTATTTATTTATTTATTTATTTAAAACAAAAAGTTTTGTCAAATGTCACATCTTGATGATAAAATTTTATTCTGCTAAATTTTAAATTCAAAAATTCATAAATTTACGCCTAGTAATATGCCCGTTAATTATATGAAGACACGTTCCAAAGTCAATCTGTCCCAAACGCAAATGGTTCCACAAACGCGGCGGATTCCATGCAGAAATATGGCTTCTTAGTATTATGATCGTCTTCTACAATAAACCAAATAAAAAGTTTTGCGGTAGTTCGGCAAACGTAGGACATAAATTAAAGGATTCACGGCAAAGCTCGTGTAAAATATCACTACCGATAATCCAAGAAGAACGTTAGATACCAAACTTTCTCTCGAAAAACCTAGGGATCCGTGGAGCTGAAAAAATATAACAGATGGAACGAAACCAGCAAAAGCTATACATGCAATCAGAATGATTGTCTTTAAAAATTTCTTTTCCTTAAGGATTCTTATTTCTTGTGCACGACTGTCAGTTGAATTATGTAAAGCGATATTTTTCGAGTGCTTCTTCAATTTTGAATATGTAGCAGCGTACATAGCTGCAGAAAGTACAATTACGATCATGCCAAAACAATTCACTGCAAGATTGTTCTTCATTTTATCGCCATAGAACAGTCGTAAAATGGGGAGAATGAAACTGCTCAGCCAAATACTCAAAAACCACAAGACCATGATTTTTCTTTGAATCAAATAGCGATGCTTAAACGGATATACGACCAATAGAAAACGATCAATAGAAATTGAAGCTATCGCTACAAATGAAGCGTTCCCAAAAGATAAAGAAAGAAGTTCAAAAACCGAATACGAGCCAGTAATAACGATATCGCGTTGATAAAACGGAACTAATAAACACGTCAATAAATCTGAAACGGAGAAATTCATAACAAGATATGTCCCTGAATTTCTGAAGCATTTCAAAGGATCCCTGATAAATGCAATGAGAAGTAGTGCATTTGAAGCAGTTCCCAGAAAAGCGGTTATCAAATATACGGGTGAATAGGTGTACTTGAATTCGAAGCTGAATCTCGTAATGTTGTTCTCTGCCATTTTTTGTGCATTCTGACTTGTTGACTATTTCGAATAACGAGTCAAGTTCATTAACTTATAATTAAGGACGCTTTATATCTGCGGAACTTCACTTCGATTGATATTGGGCTTTTTCGTAGTAAGAAGCTGCGCGTCAAAAATAGTCTTCTATAAATATCGTATACAGCTATTTCATTTAAGGTTGGCCCCCGAGCATAGCGAAAAAGTCGAATACGAGCGCTAAAGGCTGCTGGGAATCGCTAATAAATGAATGAATTTATTAGGGATTCCCAGCAGTCTTTCGCGCTCTATTCGACTTTTCCGCTTGGCTCGGGGACAACCTTAATTGAAATAGCTGTATATGAACTATTAATGTCGTTTATAACGAAGCCATTTGAAACCGTTAAATGGACCTCTTCACGCTTGCAGGTTCTAAGTTTCATCATGATACTAAACATGCTTATAAATATTATTTGATTTTTGTTTATTAAAATTTTTGTTGTGCATTATTAATATACTGCCTGCAGAGCAATAATTCTCGAGCAATTTTAAAAACGCGCATTCATTATATTGTTAAAACTCCATCTGCACTTTTCAAATTTACTCGTGCACATTATTTTCTAAATTGCTAGCTCTTGAAACTATTCTATTTAATACCACGTACCTACATTAATGATATATTCTTAATTTTCTTTATTATTTTGATGTTGTCAAATTTTAATAACTTTTCATTTATTTTTTTTATGACCTCCTTTCATTTACTATTTTTTATTTTAATTATAAAATATTTGCATCTGCCATTTGCTATTGTAAATATCTCTAGAAACCGGTTGTATTTAAGTCACAATTTATGGACGTTATGGGACATTTGTTAATTAATTGAAAATCGCGTAACAATAGGAGACGAAGAGCCGGTGGCGCATTTTAATAGCTATGACAAAAGTTATTGCACCACACTGGCGCCATAATGCACCGTCTTCGATCTCGGTCATATAGGTTTGCCAAAATAATAAGTAAATACAAAACCTAGCATGCAAAATTGGAGGGGTAGGGCCGTAGCTACCTGATTTGTGTGTGTGTGGTGGGGGTATAACACCCCCAATATTTGTTCAAGAGTAATTTCAATTCAGATATATTTAGAGCTAACTTTTGCAGCTGCATGTTCAGATAAGTTATAATAGAAATAACGTGGAAGTTAAAAGTGAATGCATGCAAAATTTTAGTTGCATTTCCACGCGCTTTCTGAGGATTTAGATCATCAAATTAAGATTTAGATATTCACATTCTCTCGGTGATGCATTATCGAGAACTCCTGGAGGATTTATCCCCTATATATTTAATATGCTAACGCATTCTTAAGAATCAAGATTGAAGCCCCTGCTACTCGAGTGTATACGAATGGGGAAAAAAACACACTAAATTTCAAACACTGCTTTTAGGGACCTTTTTTCCCTTGGACCTGGATTATTTGCTCGATAGATAATTTGTTTCCATCGAGTTCTGGCTATAGTTACTGAGCAAGCAATCACAACGGATTAACGAAAAAAGGAGACTTTCGCCTTGTTGGATGCAATTTGAATTGCCAACCGTGAAATTTTTTTCTAGCTCATCCAATTTAGCGGTTATCATGTAACTTGCACACCACGAAGTAAAGAGTTCATATTTTTATTTTAGTTTATAAACGCCATTATTGGTATAGGTGTCCACTTGAAGCGCATGCAGACTCGTGCAAAAGTCATTCATAAAGACAAGTTCTTAAATCAACTGTTCACAGTATACAGTATTAGGCGCACAAGTATATAGGCTAGTCCCACAAACTCAGATTCGAAATACAACCCTGGCCAATATTAAGATCTTCTTCCATACAATAAATCAAATAAAATGTTTTGCGATAATTCTGCAAGCGTAGGATATAAATTAGATGCGGTACAGTCCGTATGTAAACAAAGGCTTTGTTTACATTTCGGTATCCAAAATATTGAATTTTATTCGACAACTATTTATATTTTCATGATTCTAAAGTTTAATATATTATCAAGAGACAACAATCAAGCTTTGTAAGAACATGCATAAAATGAAATAAAAACCTAAATAAACTGTTTGTAAATAAAAAGAGGGCTCCTTTGTGCACATGCACAGATCGGACTGTACCACAACTTTAAAGGATTGACGTGTCAGAGATACTATTTTAAAAATAATCATGTGTATCAATACCCTGGATTCCAGAGCCTTCGACAGTAACTGATAATAACTTGAAACGTCGCGAAGGCTCTGGTTCAACGGGGGAGATTCTTTGATTAAACCGCGCCAATCACAAAAGAGAATTAGTAGTTTTAGTACAGAATCTGTACTTAAACCACTAATTCTATTTTGTGATTGGCGCGGTTTAATCAAAGAATCTCACCGTTGAACCATAGTCTTCGCGACGTTTCAATTTATTATTTACTGTCGAAGGCTCTGGAATCCAGGGTAGTGTACCAAACTATTATATTTCGAAAACTACGTAGGGAATCCTCGAGCTGAAAATATGTTAAGGAAGGTTAAAAACAAACGCAATGAATGCAATCAGACGAATGATAGTTGTTTTTAAAAATTGCTTTTCCTTAATTTTAAGGATCTTTATTTCTTGGTGAGTTTTGTAAAGCAAGGTTCTTCGAGTGCTCCTTCAATTTTGAATATGTAGCAGCGTAATGACTACAGACAGTACTATAGCGATCACATCAGGACAGTAATCCTAGCTTCTGAAGCATTTTTAAAGTTCCCGAATTCCGAATTCATTTGATACTGCGCCCTTGAGAAAATCGATTATACATGAGGCTGTCCAAAAAAGTTGACCTTTAGAAATTTACCTTATCGTTATAATTTGAATACCTGAGACTTATACTAACCATGCACTTAACATTAATCTTTACTAATTAACTAGAAAATACATGCATGCAGAAACCCTCGCCTTGCTGACAAAAGCATTGTATTTTCCGAACATGAAGTATCTAAAGTAATGTCAAGGTAACACGATAATTTTTTAAGAATATTCTTACAAATGAAAAATCGCCTAAAACTATCACTTTTAATTACAAAATTATCAATTTCCCAACATATATATATGTTAGTTATGTTATTATACGTAATATAAGCTTCAATTTAAGGTAAAATTCAACCACAAACGCTTCGCAAAACGCTTTAATGTTCATTTTAATGAACATTTTAATGTTCTTTATAAAACTATAAAACTGCCTTTAATGAAATGGCTTTATCAATAAACTTTGAGTTTGCAATAAAATGATTTCAAATTCGCGCATGCAAATAAATTTACTTTCTTTTTTTTATTTAAAAAATTCAATATAATATAAATGAAATCAATATTAAAGATACATTGAAATTATACGCTGTCTTGTTTAGTTGTTTCATGTACGACAAAGGCCGTCGGGTTTTAAAGCAATTATAAAATTAATATTTAAAACAAATTTACCCTCGTTTACGTAGGCTCCCTTCTTTTAGCCGATTCTTTCGCCCTTTCTTTCTGAAAATGCGTTTGAATTTACAAAATCTTGAAAAAATTCGAGCAAAAATGAAATATATTTGCAAGAAATTTATCAATCATCAAATCGAGAAATGTTTGCTATTTCGCTGTCGTCATGCAGTCGTTATAATGCAAACTTTAAATTGGACCAATCAGTGTCCACTATTCATGACAGTCCGCCATATTTTTGAGATCAATGAGGATGACCACCCACCCAACACTCCAACACCGTTGGTGAACCACGCCCACGATCATTGATGAACTTTAGACTTCGCTAATACTTTCGTTTCCCTGGGTGTAAATAGCCGGGGGGAATAAGTACCCTCGCACGGCGCTTCGCGCCGTCGGATCAGGGACTAGTTACTGATAAGTTGTTTTCCTTTTTTTCTATTCATTTGTTCTTTCAAACTAAGTAACCGTTTTTGTAATACTAAACCATTATTTTGTAAATATATATACCATACCCTGTAAATTCATTTAGATTGCTCTGAAGATGTTGTTTTGTAAACAACGAAACGGAAGCTAATAATTTTTCACTTTTATTATGTTTGGTTTTAAAGTTATTTGCTGGACTCTGCTCTTTATCTTTAAACTAAGATTTCCGCCTGGTGTATCAATTGCCACAGTTTTTGGTATCGTTCAACATATGAATATGATTATTTGCCGATTAATTTAACGCAACACGTAAAACAGTAAAAACTTTTTACTGTCTGTAGTCAGTTGAATCATTTTTAATCAAACTGAGTCAGCTGACGAGACTAATTTCTAAGTCGTTTAACTTCAATTACAATAGACCTTATGCACAATTACGTCACAAGGCTTGATGCCCGCGAGGAATGCTGGTCTTAGTAGCCATCTCCCGGGGAAATTAAACAATTCAAAATGGCAACTATCGAACTTTTCCCTGGCGATGACTACTAAGACCAGCATTCCTCGCGGGCATCAAGCGTTGTGACGTCATTATGCATAAGGTCTATTTCCATGTGCAATTCATGCAGTTTTAATATGTCGTACGTTTACAATGCATTCTAAACTCCCAGAGTTATTAAAGTTTGGGTGCTTATACAAGTTACAACAAAAGGGTGATTTATATAGGGTCACTTATTTAGACACCCTGTGGAAGACGGTAAATTACCATGTTCTAATGACCATTTGCATTATAGAATAAATTTTGATCTAGACAAAAATTTCATCACAGCTTGAAAGAGCATCACAAAATTAGTAATATTCCAAAGTTTCGTTGCGAAATGTTGTAAAATGCGGATAATATAGCCTTGCGAAATTTGCAATTTTCAGTCATTTTGTATTACAAACGGGAAATTGATGCCCCAACACCCGATTGGGCTGTCAATTTCCCGTGCGTAATACAAAATGACTGAAAAACGGCAAACTTCCCATGGCTATATTATCCGCATTTTACAACAATTCGTAACGAAACTTTGGAATATTACTAATTTTGTGATGCTCTTTCAAACTGTGATGAAATTTTTGTCTGGACTGGTCTAGATCAAAATTTAGTTTTTATGCAAATGTCCATTCCATGCCGAGTCTCGTAATATTGTTCTCTTTGATTTCATTCAGTGCATGTTTGCTGGCTTTTTGTAATCAAGGGTGAAGTTAGTATTAAGTCTACATGATAATTTTAATTAAAATTTTCGTTTCGACTCTCATAAATTTCTAATTTAGAATATTAAATACATCATCGCGAAATTTGGACAATAGATTATATTATTAATGTTTATTATATAATAACTTTCAATTCATTGTTGATCTAACGATATCTAGACCAGACTAAATTTAAACCTACTATATTATGCATGAAAAATTACTCAAAATGTTGCCATTCATTCCAGTGCTAAAATTCGGGGCAAAATCATTTTTGGTGAAGACCATTCTTACCATTTTTTCGCTAAATTCTTATTTGTGCATCTAATTGTATAATGTAGCCATTTTAACTCCTATTGCCGTTCGACTATATGGACTGCCCTTGCGATATAATAACTTATAGTTATATATATGAGTTATAAAATACGATTCTAACAACGGGTACTCACCCAATGACGCCAATAACCAAAGGAAGTCAAACAAGTACTCCGTGTCAGCCATTCCCAAAACTAACAGAAAATAAAGCAAAAATTGTATGGGTAAAACTAAAAGCACATAATATTCCTTGGGTATAACTAAAAGCACACCTCAGAGCAATACGAATGGACTTTGCATTCATTTAACTTAAAGGCAGAGTATAACAATTAACAAGCGAAAAGATGACTGATAAAACTTGGTTATTGTAAACTAACACACTAGTCAATATAAAAAGAATGTTTCACAAGGGCGCAGCTACGGGAGCTACCCACTTTTCTTCTAGACAAATATTGTGAGAAGAAACTTGGGGTGTCGGGTGTAACCCATGAGACAAAATACACCAAATATGTGTCTTTCATGCAAATTATCCTAAAACCAGTCTAAAATTCATGAAATAGCGTTTCGCAGAACCTAAATGAACTGAATTCGAACCCGCAACTTTGGGCTTCTATAGACAGTCATTCTACCTGGTGGCGAGTTTTATTAAACTTCACTGAATAAAATTGTACTTGTTCTTGATCGTTTTTGTTACCTTGTTGATTAACACGAACAAAAATTCCAAATCCTTCTGAAGTTCTCAAATTTAACTTCTGCGCTATTTTACGAAGGATGCTAGGAGGCTTTGATAGAGACTCAACTTCAACACTCTGTAAACAAAATATTGATGAATTAAGTTAGGTATATATATATATATAAATTGCAACATACATTTTAAGAAGCAAACTCCTCAAAGGAATACGCCCATGAGTCATTTCGTTTTCTCAATTAATATTTCATAAAGAATATTTGAGGTATAATGAACGCAAAAATTTGGTACTGATCTCGTTTTGATTAAGACAACGTTTGGTCTACTCTGAAACAGCCTATATTTTTAAAATAGTCGACTGCATACCAGCATTCATATGGGTGTGTTTGACAAATATGATAGGGAATTCGGTTTATTCGGATAGGGAATTCGGTTTTTTATAGGCCATGCTATAACGTAATCTGTGCGGAATGTACAACAACTCGTCTTTTTCTCGTCCCCCATACAGATTGACCAATGAAGTTTTATCATGTAGATACATAAAAAATCTTCAAGTATAGTTTACTGTCCAACCGATATCTGGTTGAAATCTGATACCTATATGGAAATTATTCTATAATATGTCACTAACGTTGACGGATAAAATCCAGGTTGTATGAGAGGGCAGCTCAGAAGGCTGAGACCCAATTGGTTTGGGGGGCCGAGTCTCTCTTTAAATCTTTATCAATTAAGACTTATATAATATTTGATAATATAACAAATGTTTGCTAATTCAATAATATTTGCCATTGTTAGAACACAGTTGTTCCAATTTATTTCTAGCTATTCCATTTTAAAGTCACACCAGTAATGCTATTTTACATTATATCAGTTCAGGATGGTAGTCTGCCTGACGAACTAGCCTGTAGTGAAGAGGAGGAATGAAGGTCTTCCCGAAATGCAACGCGCAAATCAGTGCGGTCATTATTATTCAAGATATTTATTCTCAACACGATTAAAAACTGTTGAAATAGATTGCGATTGTTGCTGTGAAGATCTCGTTTCCTCAAAGGTATGTTTTGAGAACTTTTTTGTTTAATAATTGAATCATTTTGTATATATATATATATATATATATATATATATATATATATATATAATATATATCGCGTCTTACTTATGTGAAATTCCTATTGTATTTAAGCATGTTTTGGTTCAATTAACATGACCTTGAAAGTGGCATTGAAATATTCACGAGCAAATTGTACTTTTTTACAAGGGAACTGAAATAAAATCACATGAGTGAATTCAGGAATGTTTACTCTTTATAATGATACTTTAAAACATAAATTTACTCCATAAAACCGAAGAGTTATCGCGGTTTGAAAATGAGCTATTTTTGCTATTTTTGAAAAAGTAGGAAATCGTGTTGCGTAGACCCTAGATGGTTCACTCTTCAAGACCTCCCTATACATGAGCCCCCATTGTTGAGAAGTCTAGATTACTACACCACTAATAAAAGCTTACCACTTCATCTTCATCAGGCAGGAGGAATTTGTGGAACATGGAACAGTTGTCACGCTAAAAAATAGAATTGGAATTAAAAAATATATGAACGACCAACGTCCCAAGTATGTAGAGAAATGCGAAGGTTTGTACATACGACAACTGCATCTGTTTCCATGTAATGTGGTGGTGCTCTTCTTGATCCCAATTGAGCAACTCTCTCCAGTCGAGAATAACATTCGTTACTCCGTGGTTTACCGCTTGATTTTAAAAAGAGTTCCACGTGTCTTGTAAGGGCCATGCTATAAACAGAGGTTTGAGCTATGATATAATATCACGTACTTTAGGAGTTTTAGGAATTCGATTCATTTAAAGTTGTCCTCTGAAAACCGCGAAACATCGACATGTAAGCACGAAAAGCACGTTGGACGTATTTATTTTTATGGCATTGTTTATGCATGTAATGTCGGCCATGTTCACACATTCATGTTAATCAAGTGAATTTAATAAAAATATTAAATACCCAATGAATCTGCGGGTTTACTATTGAATTTGTGGGACATAGCAACCGTTACTACGGAGTGTTAAACTATAAATTACATATGTACAGTAGCCTATTCGTGGTTTACTCGCTTAGAGGTCGAGCTTTTGTGGTTTTGAGTTTTGACTTTGAAAGGACCAAGGTAGGACCACAATTCTTACTTGATGGACTCACCCACTTCACTATGCGGCTAAGATAAACTATAGAATGAACCAAGATGGATCCCAATAACAAGTATAAAGGGTAATAAAGGCGTTATGTGCACAGGAAGAATTATAAGGGAATTGATCTACCTATACGAATATGGTCTAACTATGATCTAACTATGTGAATACCTCGGCGGCGCAAATAAGCCAGTGCATAACCACACCAACTCCCAGCACTTCTTTTCACTTGTCCTGTGGGAAAAGAGATGAGAGGCTAAGCCGCTACAAGTTAATTGAGCAAGTTATATGGGACAAAAACACTCAAAAGCTTATACATACACGCATCTACCTACCAGTTAGAGTTAAACGTTAACTGCTTGATCAGCTGACAATATATTTCATCTCGAATCACTTCCTATTAAAACAATATTCTTTTCTTTTACTCTTTTCGGAGCATGTATTTCAGAAATTGACAATAGTCTGCATGGCGATACTTGAAAATATAGTCTGGCGACATCTATATGTGAATCACAACTATTGAAATTCAAATGCTATATGGGAAATTATTAAAATTCATTCATTGGATTTATTTTGTTTTAACACGTATGGGGTTAAGCGGTGGTTTCTTAGAGAAGGTATTTTAACTTACATCGTCTAAAGCAGGTCCGAATATTTCGTCCGTTAATTGAATTTTCGACATGGTGCTTCTTCCAGGTAACTCTTCCATGTAGATTAAGATCACTGGGCAGGAATTAAGGGTATGTAATTGCCAAAATATTTATAGAGCCTGTTATTCGAAATATTAGAGCCTAATAAATTTATTATCATCCTGTTTATTTTCTTACTTATCATATGGTCCAAGAATACCTCTTTAAGTGCATGGAAAGTATTGAAGTCAATAGAGTAATGACCGAGGTAATGATCATGAGAATTTTTATTTCGTTTTGGTTTATATATTCACTAGTATTGTTTATTTAAAACATCTAAATAAATTAAAAGATTTAAAAAAATCGAACTTTGGGATATAGAGCGTTGATTACCAGGATTTTTACATGAATGAACCCTGCAGCTACAGTACAAGGGTCATCGAAAACACGGATTGGGTATAGGAAGTAAAAGAACTAAACGTAAAATGAAAGAGGGGAAACTGATTAAAAAGTAATAGTTATGTAGCAAACTATTTGGAGAACTTTACGAAAATATTAAGGTAAAATTTCGCGAATAATGTACGTTAACGGAAAAGTGAATGAAAAATATACAGTAATATCAGCGAAAGATTTTTTTGTCTCCCCTCCTTCCCCTTCCCCTGCTTTATCCTTTTCGCGACGGCCGTGGCAGCTGCTGTTCACATGTAAATCACGATGTCGATGATGTGGACGCTCGATTTTTAAAATATACTTTTTGAAAACTTTTAACGTTTTAAATAAATATAAGGCTAGTGGACGAAATGAAACTGCCCAGTAGCGTATCAGTTATTGAGAATTTTCATATTGCAAAATTGTTACTGTCAAAATTCCACATTTCGATGGAACGGATTATTTGTTAGGTGCCGGTTATGGAAGTTAACGTGGAAACTTTCTAAACTATCATTTAAGGGATGGATAACAACAAAAAGGATACGTCTAAAGATTTCCATTGCTTTGTCCTTCTTTTCTTGGTTTCTGAGTAAAATCTTGTGAAGAGGCTGAAAAATTGCTTCCTACAAAAACAGAACTTCAACTATAACGGGGAGTCAAATAACGAATTACGAAACATAATTGTCTGGTAAATGTTTGCGATTTTTTGTGTTTTATCAGATCAAATTATTGCTCATGATGTACGCAAAAGCCATGCTGTGACTTTGAGTACCTAATGTGAATTGCTGTACACATGTTTTACTCTTTAGAATTATGGATGTACGCGTGGCTTCTGAAATGTCCATTGGCTTTCCTTCACATATTAACATTTTTTCATTAATATACTGTATGACCATGATGCATTGATAATCCATACAATTTGACTTTTAAAAGTATTGGTAGTAGCTTTAATTTAAAACCTTCTGAAAAAACTACACAAAAACATGCTTTAATTTAATTAAGAAAATGTTTAGCAAAGAATGTAATATGATATACGAAACGTAACCAACTGCTGCTATTCGTGTGTCGGTTCAGACTGCTATGTTCTTTCTTCATGAACCATCTAAAAATGTCAAGAAACGGATCTTACTTTTTGATGAACCCAAGTCATATTATCGGTGAAATAATCTCTTGCGTATATTTCCAGCGTGTGGATCCTGCTTTTGGGAAGCTCAACAACTGCCGGGGTGGTAATAAGGATCTAAGAAGAAAAATAAGATTGAATATATTCGCTGCATATAATCATGTGAACATCTAACAAATTTAATTAAGGCGTTCTTAATAAGGCGAAGAGGTGGTTATTTTGTAGACAGTTTGCAATGAGAAATGAAAAACTATAGGAATAGAAAGTAGGAAGGTATTCTTATACTGTAGATCCTAATTCTTAATTTAATTTATGATTGGTTTATACGGTGCGGTGCCTTGTCGTGTTGTGTGCTGTATTGTAAAGTAGGTACTGTAACTCAAATTGTTCGGTAACCGCTTGTTTTGTAACGTTTCGTGGAATGAAAGAAGTATTTCACTAGTAATTTGTATACCACTCACCTGTTCTCTTAGAGCTGGCTTGGATACCTCGACAATTTTACGCTTGCTTACTTCAGTAAGACGTCTTTCCAGGTCACGAATCTCTTCTCGGTGTTTTTCAATATTTTTATCTCGTTCCTCCATCAAATATGAAATCTTAATATTCTTTTCGCCAATCGAACGCTCCAGTTCTTGAATTTGTGCCGTGGTTACACTATTCTGCTCAGTTCGTTGCAATTTAAGCACGTGTAACTCTTCTTCTTGGTCGCGTGTTTTCTCCTTAAGTTCACGAATTGTAATAATTGCATCATTGTTTTCTTCTTTCAAACGCATCAACTCGCTACGTGTATTGGATAACAGCATCTCCTTGTTCTGAAGCTCGCTAAAGTGAGCATCCCTTTCACTTCTTAAGGTTGTTATGGAGCTTTCTTGAGTATCAAGTGTTTTTCGCATATCTTTGATCGTAGAGGCTGCTTCGGATTGCTGCCTTTCAAACGTTTCCAATTCCCTTCGAGTGCCACTCAAGGAACCTTCCATTTCGGAAATAAGGAGAATATTTTGATGCTGCTCTTGTTTGATTTTGGACAGCTCCTCTTCTTTTGCTTGAACTCGGGATCGGAGATCGTCCACCTCAGCATTTGCTGTGCTATAATTACGCTCCAACTCGACAAGACGAGCTCTGTTAGTGAAAAGAGCACTTTCTTTATCCTTTATTTCCGTCAGCTGCGTGTAACGTTGGTTTCGTAACGTTTCCAATTCCACTTCTTGATCTCGGAGATTTTTCTGCATGTCCGACAGTTTCGAAGATGCTTGATTATTATACTGCCGTAGGTCTTCGAGCTCAGTTCGAGTATTTACGAGAATGGTCTCCTTCCTCTCCAATGTGGATTCAAAGGATTCCTTTTCGGTTCTTAAGGTGAACTCAGTATGCTGCTTTTCTCGGCCAAGCTGATTCAGCTCATTTTCAAGTTGAACGACCTACAGAAAATTATAAGCTAGAATTATTATACGGTAGAGCAGATGTGCCAGCACCTAACCTGCGAACGGGCATACTCTGGGTACTAGATTAACGTAATTTAGGGTGGTGATATAAGGCGGTAACTCTTCAAGACGTATAAACTATCTCTCAGATGAGATCCGATCCGTGCACTTATAATATACGATCAACATACTAAATAAACAGTCATATCCATGGCACTCACCTTTCCTTCAACTGAACGCAGTTGAATATCTTTGGTGTCCAACGCTTTCATAAGATCATCGACCTCACCCCTGTTAGTTGTGGTCTAAGTACGTAGAATGGAAATAATTAAATGAAAAAAGATTAGTATTTACTGCAGGACATTCTGCCTAAATTAATTTTCCAATGCAGATATGGTAATGATCCTGATTCCTTTATTTCTTGATCCCTAGCTTAAAACCAGACACCCATGGGCAACTAAGAAAATACTTGCAACAGATTTTGGTAGACTCAAGTGAAGCTATCTAAGGCAAAATTTTATAGGCATATAGGAAGGGAACCACTGCATGCAGGAATGGAACCTTTCTCGCAATAGTGATAACGTCCGCGATTCCTTATCACTAGACAGCTTGAGCACTGTGAACTCCATGTCTTTTATCTGGGATGATATTATGCGGGGGGGAACGCGAAGCCAATGCCAACGCCACTTCACGCCTAAGCCAGCGTTCTGATGCGCGCTGATTTGTGATAGGCGTATAAGGGGACTGAAACTGACGTACTATACGACTTGGAAATGGACAGCGCGGTGATGGCGTATAAAGGGACTGAACCTGACGTACTATATGGCGTGGAAATGGCGTGGAGGGCTGACGCCACTGCTTACACAATGCTTCACTTTTTAACTGCCAAATGACTGGGTATTATCGTTCCAGGTAAAGTAAAATAATTGATTTCACTGCTTTAGCAAAGACAACGCGACGTCAATCAGGACGTGAAAATGACGTCATACACCTCGCGTTTGCTTCCATTTGGAATCTGCGGCTTCGGGTTTATCTTTTCAGAAGTAAATGTCTTGTGCGTTTTTTTCGCCGCTTGCATATTTCTTTACCGTTTTCAATTATTTGTCTAGTTATGTGCTAGAAAATGCTCTGTTATACTGGCTGAGTATTTTCTAAAGATTTTCTATGAACATTCGACAAGTTCTTTTTTAAAAAGTGCTATATTTTGTTGTTTTTGAACAAGTAATTTTTTCGCATTATACGGACGAAAGTGCAAAAGCTGCAGGTATTGTTCACGAGTTAAATACTATACTTTAGTTTCTATTTGGTTTAATCGAGTTTCTAAGATGTTCGATATCAATAGTCATATCAGAGTTTACATTGGTGTAATTCAATTTTTTTTGACGACTGTTTTTCATGCCGAAAAGTGTTTTTACTTGTTTAAGTGTTTTACTTGTTCATTTTAAAATCTTGTTGTTCTATTTCAGCTTTTGACAATTTGTGTTTTGTTGTGACGATGAAAATACTTGCCAAATATCAATGCGTCCAAAACTCAGCGAAATATAAGAACACAAACTTATCAATCAAAACAATATTCAGCTACAAATATTGAAGAATATATGGGGAACAAAATAGGACGGTTTTGTGGTGTATACTCTTATATATTGATTTCAAGACAAGCATAAATTTGTGACGTTCTAGGGAGGACGTGAAAACACCCTGAATCCCGTCCTAAAACAATATGAACGACTCCAACGGTCCAAGACTAAACAGAAGTAAAATGCCACATGCCACGCCGTTTCCACGTCCTTGTTGACGTCATGTTGTGTTTGCTAAAGCAGTCTATTGTACGCAATGCGCTAGCTAGCAGCCCATCGGCAAAAATGTCACAATGATAAAGTTAACAACTTCCAAATAAAAATTTTCTGTGGTTGAAATTGCTTAAATACTGTACTTTTCTATTTGAATAAATCTTAATAATGCTTACAGGCTCTTCGGGGGAGGGTGGCCTGAATAGACGTGGAGCAGGTTTGCTTCCAACAGGTTTAGGAGCAGCAGCAGGTTGGACGTAAACCACAGGCACAACATAAACATAGTTAGCAGAAAAGTTTCCCCATTGTTTGGTACGGTCGTTGGTACCAGATGCCCATCCAGTAGCGTTCAGCGTTTCACCATTGTAAGTTTCATCCATAATAATTATGTCACCACGACGAAATGATAATTGTGAGCGCTGAGCTGCAAGACAAAAGTCGCAGACTAAGGGACAAAGTTGCTAAGCATCACAAATGAGGTTTAAATCATAAATTCGTAGTGCATCGCAGCCGCTGGAAAGTCGACAGTCAGTCGTCAATGTATCTTGCAACATTTGACCTTGAATTTCATTCACATGAACTTGTGCAAAAATTGGCGGACATGTACAGTATTAATTAACGTCCACTTTGGAATTAATATTGCAGGATTTGCTATTCATAAAATTAAATGGTGGAAATATTTTTTACAAATGTCCGTTTTCCTGTACTTATTCCTCTGCTATTTGAATCGGTTAAATATAAACTTATGCATTTTTCTTAATAGCTGCAAATCTATAGTACACTATCTTAATTCCGACGTGGTCTTGATCAAAAGCTACAGTAGGACGTATGTATTTTTGTGAACGTACACCGTTACGACGTGATGTACTTAGTAAATGTTGTAAATACTACAACAAAATTCCCAGAGACACTGGGAATCAATCGCCTATTTCTATATCAATATTTAAGTAAAGACTACAATTATAATTATGCTAAACGTTTTTTCCAAACAACTTTTGAGTTGCTTTACGAGGTGCCTCTATGTATGCCAATATTGAGGTCTGTTACTTATTTTCTTCAGTCACGTACCACGTATGTACGCGGAACTCTTGCTATCTGCTTAATTACTTACTTTTTGCTAAAAGTCTGACATTTCTTGACATGAAATATGATTAGTCTAATGGGATATTTGTATATAGAACGCTGTATACTTTATGAATTATGTACTTTATGTATTGCAAAGACTAAGTAGTGTAAGTCTTAAGTTTGTACCAGCTCAGGTACGCGGCAATAATCATGATTGGAGTACTAGTCAGGTACGACTAAAATATTTTAATTATCGCACCCTGCAAGCAGTCAATCAGAACGCGAGAATTCGCATTGTTGTAAATTAGAAACCAAGGTTACCTGGAGGATAATCATGCAAAGCAACGCAATATCTGGAACGTCTTTTCAGTCCATCCCATATGTACAAAAGAATATCTCGTATCGCTGAAGCATGTTCTGAATAAAAACCATAGTTTCCCTTCCTGGTCGTGTACAGCATGAACACATCCTTCCTCCTGAAAATGAATAACAGCCGACGCACTGAAACTTTTCAGCGAACATTCAAATTCAACTACTACTACTACTACTACAACAACTACTACTACTACTACTACTACCACTACCACTACTACCACTACTACCACTACCACTACCACTACCACTACCACTACCACTACCACTACCACTACCACTACTACTACTACTACTACTACTACTACTACTACTACTACTACTACTACTACTACTACTACTACTACTACTACTACCACCACTGCTACTGCTACTACTGCTACTGCTACTGCTACTGCTACTGCTACTGCTACTGCTACTGCTACTGCTACTGCTACTGCTACTGCTACTGCTACTGCTACTGCTACTGCTACTGCTACCACTACCACTACCGCTACCGCTACCGCTACCGCTACCGCTACTGCTACTGCTACTGCTACTGCTACTGCTACCACCACCACCACCACCACCACTACACCACATCCATTACCACCGCCACTAGTACTGCCACTACTAGTACTACTATGGATCATTGTCCACAACCAAGGAAACGTAAAGTTTATATTTACTGGTCAACATGAACTCTATTTCAAATTTGTTGACAACAACCAATAATTCAAGTCAAAAAGACTAAATTTTTTCTCAGTATAATTATACTGCACTTGAGGTATAATAGATCATCCCCGCCTTGTGTACAAATTTCCCGTTTCAGATAATGTGATATCTTCATGCACCATTGTTCTTTGATCTTTAGACGGGTCTCTGTAAAGAACGGAAACCGAAACGACCGAAACCGCATATTTCCGCCTAATTTCCCGCATAAAATTTTGCCTGCTTGGAGAAAGGTGAGCCTGCACGGAACCATGCGTTTTATTCATTCATCCCCTTTTCGCATCTGCTTAACGCGAACCAATCAGCGTCGACTGGGATAATAAACAAAGACTACCAACTGTCAAATTGACGCAGGGCGTGAAATGTACAACGAGGAAATGCATAAAACAAGTGTAACTCCAAAGATCGATAACATTTTTATATTTATCAACGTTTCGACTATATTTCAGTCATCATCAGGATAAAGAAATGTATATAACAATAATACGAAGCATTAGCAAGCCGCACAATATATTAAGTATAGGCTCCATATAATACATTACCAGTCAATCAATACACATACAAATTAAAAGCCGAATAAAATACTACCATTGAATGCAATAGTATTTGTACTACTTATGATTGAAAGCAGGGACGCCGGAACGATAATAGGGCAAAGGGGGGCGGACGCACTCCAAGGGCACCTTTACTGAAAATTTTTTTTTAACTTCAAAAATTTTTGGCGACCTCCCCCCCGTCGCCAAAAAAAATTCGGTCAGTGTACCATTTTAGGGGTCAAAAAAATTTTCCGGACATACAAAAATTTTCAATGAAGCCAAAAATTTTTCCGGGTATCTTAAATTTTCCCCATTTCTTCAAAAAATTTCTCTAAATTCCAAAAATTTCCAAAAATTTTTATAAATATTAACTATAAATTCCATGAATCTCGTCATTTTCCTACAAAAAGCATCGTTGGAAATGTGATTTATCACGTATTATTTTACAACTAAAAGGGCACTTCTGCCCCCCCTGCCCCCCCTAGAAAAAGGCAAGGGGGGCAGCCGCCCCCCCTGCCCCCCCAGTTCCGGTGTCCCAGGATTTTCGCCCCCCCTACATTTTCGCCCCCCGGGGGGCGAAATTCCTAGGAATATCGCCCCCCCAGGGGGGCGAAAATCCTAGGAATTTCGCCCCCCTTTAGGAAATTCGCCCCCCTTTAGAAACTTCACCTTTTCTTTAGGACTGTCGTCCTCCGTTCAAAATTTCGCCCTTCCTAACAGTTGCATGGGATAATTATTACATGGCTTTAATCATTTGAAATCAGTATCAATTCAAAATTGTTAAGACAGAGCTTGAAATAACAACCGATCACCGATCAATGATCGGCAAGGAATTGCTTATGATCGGCGGAAAAGCAGGGGTTCGGTTTCCAACCTGAAAAAAGCAGGGAAAGTCGCGACTGCCGATCACCATGATCGGGAACTTTGGGAACGTTATTTCAAGCCCTGCATGTAAGAATACAAATTTACAATTACATGTATCGAAAGGGCTTTACACAGTTACAGTAGATGAATACTCAATAGAACTTATGACGCTTCACAGCACACCATGCATATTTTGCATTTTTTTCAGTGTTAATCCTTAAACTCATTGTTAAAAATTAATCACCGTGGTGGTTATTGTAATTATTGGTATTGTTTTGCATCCACGTTTTGTCGTTATCGGAAAATGTATGGTTTGTCACTATTTTTTACTTGCATTATTTCAATATAGTTTGTAAACTCAGAAGCGAAGGGTAGAACTTGGCAATAGGCAATAATCCAATAATATACGTTTCAAAGAAGCAAAAAAGACAAGAAAGCTTTTAGTTTTGCAGAGTTACATTCTCAAATGTTTAAGGCATGCACTAATAAAATCAAAGTATCATGAAATTATTTCAATAAACCACACCACATATACAATGCAATTTTCTTTGCGGAAGTGAAGAATCAAGATTACATCACTGACACAGAAAGTTGACGATTCAACGGACAATAGTCAATACGCTTCCCAACAAATTCCATGGATTTTTTACTAATCCTATAGTTTATTGTTAGCAAGTGATTACTGTGGCGGCTATTTTTAACACTCGTATTGATAAAATTTGCAAGCGATTGTTTTTATAATATGTTATGTGAATGTAAACTGCCAGAAGAATACGACAACATGATTTTATGCGATCTCTGTGATGGTTCCACTTTAGATGTGTAGAATATGACACTAGTCTAAGTACCTCAAATTACTCGGTTATGCAGACTGCGCACACCACCAGCTGCTAAGAAGCCTAAAATGTGTATGTGATTTTGTCTCCTTGTAATAAATAAATAAATCACACAATAAATCTTTTCAACTTGCAATCGTTTGGTTTTTAGATCAAAAATTCAAAAATTATATGGGGGGGGCGAAATTCCTAAAGGGGGGCGATAGTCCTAGGAGATTCGCCCCCCAGGGGGGCGATATTCCTAGGAGATTCGCCCCGGGGGGGCGAATATCCTAGGAATATCGCCCCCCTTTTGAGAGGGGGGCGAATCTCCTGGGGGGGCGAATCTCCTGTGACACCGGCGTCCCTGATTGAAAGAACAAAGTTCTGAATATTTGAAGCTATTAAAATGCGGTCAGATAAATTGGAATTTGGAATACGTCTAAATGAGCATGTATTTAATTTTTTCGAAATCACGAGCGTGCCATTTTAGTGGAAGTCGTATCGTATGTCAAGTGAGAAAGTGAATGCAATATCGTTTTTATTAAATTAAAAAACCAGCATTGCTCAGGAAGTTAATAATATACAGTAAGATTATTAAATAATTTACAAAATTGTCAGCAGTTAAAT